CCTAATATGAATATTCACTGCTATGAATTTCCCTTATAAGACTGCTTTCATTCTGTTCCATAGACTCTAATATGTTGTATTGGCATTGTTAGTTTGTTGTAGAAACTGTCTGATTTCTTCTTTAATTTCCATTGTGGCCCATTGGTTATTCAGAAGTGTGTTGTTCACTTTCCATGTGTTTATGAAATTCTTGTGGTATCTTTTGCTATTGATCTCCAATTTCATCACACTATGGTCTGATAATTTACACCAGATAACTTAAACTTCTTTGCACTTACTTAAACATGTTCAATAAGCTAGTATGTGGTATGTTTTAGAGAACAACCCGTGTGCAGCCAAAAAGAATGTGTATCCTGATTTTGTGGGGTGGAACACTCTGTAAACATTTCAAATCCATTTGTTCAAGAGTTTGATTGAGTTCTAGTATTTCATTGTTTATTGTTTGTCTAGTTAATCTATTTGTGACAGTGGGGTATTGAGGTCCCCCAGTACTATTGTATTAGTGCTTATTTGATTTTTCATGTCAATATTTGTGACAGTGGGGTATTGAGGTCCCCCAGTACTATTGTATTAGTGCTTATTTGATTTTTCATGTCTTTTAGTATTTTTTATATAGTTGTTTGCACTAGTGTTTGGTGCCTATATATTTATGGTTGTTATCTCTTCCTGTTGGATTGTTCACTTTACAAGGATGTAGTGTCCTTCTTTGTCTCTCTCAATCAGTGTTGGTGTGAAATTCACTTGATCTGCAAAGAGGATAGCTACTCCTGCTTTTTGGGGGGCCCCTGTTGCATGGAGTATTGTTTTCAACCTTTTAACTTTCAGTCTATGAATTTCTTTTTAAATTAATGTGTTTCTTGTATGCAGCATATTGCTGGGTCTTGCTTCTTGACCCATTCTTCCAGTCTATTTCTTTTGATTGGTGAATTAAGACCATTAACATTGATGGTTATAACTGATATGTATTGACTTATCCTTGTCATGACTTTTTGTTGTTGTTGGATTCTCCCCTTAATTTCTTATCATGCCCAATGGATTAATTCTGCTGGGCTTCCTGGGGTTGTGATCCTTATTGTCTTCTCCTAGGATATTGTTTAAAACCTTTTGGAGTGCTGGTTTGGTAGTCATGAAGTTCCTAAGGTGCTCTTTGTCATAAAAGTATCTTATTTCTCCATCAATTTTGAAAGATAGTTTTGCAGTGCACATCAATCTGGGTTGGAGGTTGTTTTCCTTTAGGGCTTGAAATACATCACTCCAAGCTCTTCTTGCCTTGAGGGTTTGTGTTGAGACATTTGCTGTGATTCTGATGGGCTTTCCTTTGTATGTGATTTGTTTCTTTTCTCTAACTGCTTGTAGAATTTTGTTCTGCTGCATTTCTGGAATCTTGACTACTATATGCCTATGTGTAGATTTTTTTTTATCATTGCTAGTTGGAGTCCCATAAGCCTCACTTATCATACAGTCAAGTTCTTCTCCCCTGTTTAGGAAGTTTTCTGCGATTACTTCTGTGAACAGTTTTTTAATGTCATCTGACTCTCTTCTGTTTCTTTATTGATTCTGATAAGTCTTATGTGTTTTTGTTGTTGTTGTTGTTGCTGTTTTGTTTTGTTTTTGGTATTGGAGATTGAACTCGGGACCTTGCTTGGTTGCCAGGCAAGTGGTGGCACCACTGAGCTAGATTCCAAGCCCAGTGGTTAGTCTTATGTTCTTCTTTGTATTGTCTAGCAGCTGCTGGATTGATTTCTTGTGGTCCCTTACTTTTTTTGAAGAATTTTTCTTTTCTTGGTCACTAATTGCAATCCTATCTTCTATATCTGAAATTCTGTCCTCACATTGGCTCATTCTACTACATAAACTTTCAATGGAGTTTTCAATCTCCTGGAAATCTCTTTGCATTTGTTTTATGGATTCCATTAGTTTCCTATGTTGGGATTCCATCGTGTTCCTCAGCTCCTCTATTTTTTTAAATGTATGTCTGCTCTAGATTTATTAATCATGTCTTGCACTATGGGAACAATCTCTGTTGTTTTCTAAGAAATTATTTCTGATTTCATTTTTTCCTGATTCGTTTTTATTACCAGTTCAGGGAGTCCAGATGTTTGAGTATCAGACTGTTCCATCTTGTTTTGTGTTGGGATTGCTTTGGGTGGTCTGGAAGTCTGGTTTTGAGACTTGTTTATGTGTCTTCTCATTTCAACAGATGCACCCTGTTGCACCTTTGTTGAGGCAACTTTTTGTTCACCCAGTGGTCTTCTGTTCTCAGCAAGCCACTGAGTGACCTTTTCTTTTTTTATTATTTATTTATTTATTTATTTATTGGTATCAGGAATTGAACTCAGGTCTTTGTGCTTGCAAGGGAGGCCACCAAACCACTGAGCTAAATCCCTAGCCCATGAGTGACCTTTTCTATGCTGCTCACCAATACACCAATTCTTGGGTTTAGAATGGTTGTCTTCTGGATCCCTGAGCTGAGCAGTTGTCTAGGCAGACTTCCAGCTGGGGCCTGTGCACCCTTGGGATGGTATCTAGGTGTGTCTCTAGCTAGGGCTTGCTCCCCTATGTAGCTGTTAAGAGAAGAGCCTTTGGCTGAGGGATGTGCACCCCAGTCCCTGATGTCTGAGCAGGCTTCTGGCTAGGGTCCGTGCACACTTACCAGTGGTACCAGGGTGGGCCTCTGGTAGATACTTGTGTGCCTGTGCAGCTCTTTTTCAGGTGGAGCTTTGGCTTGGGCCTGTGTGCCCAAGGGGCTGGGGTCAGAGAGGGGCCCTGGCCAGATCTGACTGAAGCCACACCTCTCTGGTCCACATCACTGCTTACCAGATCTGTGTGCACTTAGTGATATTATCGGGGAGGGCCTCTGGCTGTTGCTTGTGCGCCTGTGCAGCTCTTTTCCAAGTTGGCCTATTGCTTGAGCCTCTGTGCCCAAGCACCTAGGGTCAGGGCAGGGCCCTGGCTGGAACTGCCTGTAGCCACGCCTCGCCTCGCTGTTCTGCATCACTGCTCTCTGAGATCTGTGCACTTACCAGTGGAATTAGGGTGGGCCTCTGGCTCAAGTGTTTTCCATTTTAAAGAGCAACTGTCACCCAAATCCTCATCCAGCCCTACAGAAGAAAATGGAATGACATTATCTTCATCCTGTACGCCTTGTCCACTTCTGCTCTATCCCTCTGTTTACCTGCACAGATGAGCCTTTTAATCATTGCCTATACTGTCTCTATTCTCTAATTTCATTTTTAAAAAAGCATTACAATCTAGCTTGTGCTCTTTCTCTGCCTCACAGCTTCTCTTAGCACTTTGTTGCTGCATGCAGTCATATTTTGCCTATATTCCAAGTAGCCTTTAAACTTTCTCACTGTTCTTCCTTTCTTGGGCTTTCAAGATATCACTTTGATGTGACTCAGTCCATATGCCCTCATTGTTTTTTCTTAGTCTCCTTTCCCATCACCACTACCTCCACCATTCTCTTCATTGCAAGACAATTGACTCTCCTGCCTTCCCCCCTCACCCTTCTCTCTCTCCCTCTGTTTTCCTCTCCCTCTCAATCTGCAATCTTTGTGGATAATCTCCAATATTCATGGCTTTCTGATCTGGCAAGGATTATTCTGTTGAGGTCTAGATAAAAATATCTGCCTCCCTTGCTACATCTCTATTGGATGCCTGCTCACCTTCCCATCTCTAGTGCTCTCCCTCCTCCATACTGTTCCTCTCTTTGTGAAAGGTGTTATCACACATTTGAGATTTTCCATGAAATGTCGGGATCATCTTTGACCTCATATCCAACCAGTAACAAAGTTCATTAACTTTAACTTAATAATTTCAAATGGACCACTCCTCTCATCACTGAAATCCCAGGCAGCTCTTTAGTCCACCTGTCCATCATCTTCCCTGATTATTCTGAAAATCTGTCTCAACCGTTCTTCCTTCCTCCAGTCCAACCCATTCTCTTTACTGATAAGAGAAATGAGCTTTTGGAAATGCAGAAGTACAAATCTAATCGGGTCACTTGCCTGCTTCAGATTAATCAATCATGGGCTCTCCATTCCTTTGGAAAGGAAACTTGAATCCTCAGTATGACCACGAAAGGCCTGTATCTGTTGACCCTCCCTCCCTCCCTCTCCAGTCTCTTCACATACCTTATCCTCATTTGCCTGCATTCAATCGCTTTTCTACACCTCTGCTGGAGGGTCAATTCAAGGTGGCTCACACATACGGCTGGAGAGCGGTGCTACTTGGTGGTGGGAGGACTCCATTTTCTCATGTGGGTCTCTCCACAACCAGTTTGAACATCCTCAGAATATGGCTCTCAGATCCCCTCAGCATGAGCAATCCCAGAAAAAGCATGCTAGAAGGAAACCATCCTTTTGAGGACCATGTGACATCATTTCTACCATATTCTTATCAGATCCAGGTTGATAAATCTAGCTTATATTTGGGATTGCAGAAAGTAAAGGGGAAAATAGGCTCTGCCTTTTTTGTTTTTGTTTTGTTTTTTGGTACCGGGGATTGAACTTGGTTTGTATATGTATTTTATAATTTCTACCATGGCTGATAATAAAGGGCTGGATTTGTCTGGTCAGTCAGGAGAATCACTGAGTTTGAGGCCAACCTGAACTACATAGCAAGACCCTACATAAATAAATAAATAAATAAGGGCCCGGGAGGTAGCTCAGTGTGAAGACCTTAGGTTTATCCCTAACGCCGCAATGTGATGATGATGACAATGGTAATCATGTAAATTTTCATCCACCTTTCTCATATGGCTTCAGGGCCAGGGCCTTCTTGAGGCAGAAGATTAAACTATGATGAGCCAAGATCCCTTCCAGACTTTCAGATCACATGACCTTTGGGAACATGCCAATTACTGAACATTTACAGTTGCTACATTGCCCTAGGTTCACATGGGTGAGGAGCTGAAGGCCAAGCCCCAGGTGACCTTGATAGTCACTGCAATACGGAGTTCACCTCTTACTTACTTACATCTGCTTTTTTCTTCCCCCAAGGTCAATTTTTTCATCTTCCTGAAAATTCTCAAGCTACTCATTTCTAAGCTCAAAGCCCATCAGATGTGCTTCAGAGATTATAAATACAGGTGAGTGGCCTGAGGTCGGTGTTCAGAACTCCAAGGTTATTTTCAATCTTTCTGATGGGAAGAAAGGAACAAGTTGCTTTAGGATATTTGTCTCCTAGGGATTTTTGAAACCGTTATTATTGCCTATGACAAAAACCTTCAATCTCATGAAAATGAGGTTAAGTAGTCAAGAGCATACTGGTTCCCCCAGCAGGGGAGCTGTTATAATGTCCCTGAGAATGAGTGATCTATGGACAACATACAGCCTTAGTAGTTACTTTCTTTGGGGGAGAATTTGAAGCAACAGAATAAAAAATATATTCAAAACTCAGAAGAGAATTTATGGGTATTTTTGAGATCTTGATGAATAAAGCCACAAATTTCTAGAGTCTAAGGAAACACACCCAACAGAGTCACTTTTCTTTGTGACTCTCTTTTTCCATGATTCGTCTTCTGCTTGCTACGGTGATAGCACACTTGTTTGCCATAAATCAGATATACATTTGAGATCTGTGTTGCTGTGAAAATAAAAATGAACAAATAAGGGAAATATAGGGGCTCCTTTCCTCTTTTGCTAGTAGTTATTCTTTACTTTCCAGGCAGCAGGTACATTTCAGCAGCGCTAACAAGGGGGTAGAGTTTTAACTCACATGATAGGGAATTCAGTCCACAAAGCTGTCCAGAGAAGGAGGGTGTGAGTAAAGAGAGCTCCAGTCTTGCTTCTCACTCTTTTTTAACATCAATTAATTTTATTGGTACATTTAAGGTATACCATGTAATGACATTCATCTTTGGAAATTTACACCTTTATATAATCCATCTGGGTTCTTATTTTTTCCCATTCCCCTGCCCTCCCGTCCACCCCTCCACCCCTCCCTATCTACAAAGACTTTGCTTCCATTTTTTCTTTTTCTCCTGTTAATTCCATTCCCATCTTTCTTTTCCCCTGTCCCTCCCACTTCCCCTTCCCCTTTGCACCTTTCTTCCTATTTCACATTATCTGTTATACCTTTTAGTCCTTATTTACACTTTCAGTTTCTCACACTAGAGAATTTATTTGGTATTAACATATATGTGTCCTATTTACTTCACTTAAAAGTATTGCCTCAATGTGCATCCATTTAGCTAAAAATGTCTCTAGTTTCTCATTCTTTATGGCTGAGTAGTACTCCATTTTATTTTTTAAAAATGCACATTTTCTTTATCCAGTCTCCCCTTGATGGGCACTTGGGCTGCTTCCAAGTTTTAGCTATCACAAATTGTGCTGCTATGAACATGAATACACATATATCTCTGTGGTAAGATTATTTTAATTCTTTGGGGAAGATACCCAGCAGGGGGGTAGCAGGGTCAAATATTCTTTATGGGAGTAGTACTCCATTTTATTTTTTAAAAATGCACATTTTCTTTATCCAGTCTCCCCTTGATGGGCACTTGGGCTGCTTCCAAGTTTTAGCTATCACAAATTGTGCTGCTATGAACATGAATACACATATATCTCTGTGGTAAGATTATTTTAATTCTTTGGGGAAGATACCCAGCAGGGGGGTAGCAGGGTCAAATGGGACCCCCGATCCTATTTGTTTGAGGAGTCTTCATAGTGATTTCCACAGTAGTTGCACCAATCTACACTCCCACCAGCAGTGGAGCAGGGTTCCTCTTTCCCCACAGCCCCACCAGCATTTCTTATTGGTTGATTTCATTATAGCAGCCATTCTTTCTGGGGTGAGGTGGAATCTCAGGGTTGTTTTCATTTGCATTTCTCGAATGACCAGTGATGTCGAACATTTTTCATATTTATTTGCTATTTCTACTTCTTTGTCTGAGTGCTTCTCACTCTTTGTAAGTCTATCCAAGGGCCTGGAAAGGCAGTTTTTTCATTTACTAGACAACAGCTAATGAATGCCTCCAAAATCCCTGGCACTGTGCTTGGAACAAAAAGCAAATGCAATGTAGACCCAATCTTTAAGGTATATGTCTGCTACATTACTAAGGACTGAGACATTGGTGTGGACTATGAGACAGCAGAGAGTGGGCTGGCCATACCCCAAGGCCTTACAGAAATGGCTTGGTCTCTCTTGGCTTGTTTTCTGGTGTTTAAAATGGGGATGCCATGGCAGAACTGTCTCATGCCTGTTATGATGATTCGAGGAGGTTGTAGATATGGGTGGCCCAAGCTAATCAGACATGGGGAGAAGCATTCGCTAAGTATCCAGACCCCAGAGTCTATCTTCCCCAACTCCTCCCTCCAGAAGGTCTAGAAGGATAAACATAGTGGATTCAGGAATGGGCAAAGATATACTATAATTGCTAGTTAGGGCTTTGGCCCAAACATTCTGCAGAAACCCCATCCCTGGGGAACTGGCCTGGCCCAAGCCTCAAGGAGTTGTGCTATCTCTCTTGGCGCCTCAAACCAGGCCTCCAAGTGGCCAAGCAGCCTCTTTGGCAACTCTCCCAAGGCTAAGCCTCTCTAGCTCCTCTGAAAATGGAACTCCAAGAGCTGTTTGGGTCCATTCAAGGAGAGTGATTCTTTCAATAACCAAATACAAAGCCAGACAGGATGCCCCAGAAACTGGACAGAGGTAAATACTCCCAGGAGTCAGAAAGTGGCAGCAGATGAGTTTTAAGGGACTCTGAGCCCTATCTCTGTGGCTTTGTTCTCCCAGAACCCACTGTGTCCCCCTGAGATCTTCCCCATGTTCTAGACCTTCAGTTATCCTGACAGTAGTTTCCCATCTTGTCTCCTTGTAAGCATCCGCCAAAAGCCATTCAAAGGACAGCTTGTGAACCATACCACTGGGTATGACTCGGGAACTGTGAACTCCACCATGTGGATTTTTACAGACTTCCCTGGGAGATTCAGAGTAAGGGACTGCTGATCAGGTGCTCTCGTGACATACAACACATGGAATTTTCAGCTTGGGTCATGGTGAATGTGTTTCTATACAGCTGCATTATCCTGCTTTCCAGGTTCCCCTCTATAGTTGTCCAAGAGAATGGTTTCTAATATTTTCTGATCATATATCTTGATAGTAAAGAAATTTTGAGCCTATCCCTCATCATATATACGCAGTCTAGTAATGAATTTTTTTTTTTTTTTTGGTACCGGGGATTGAACTCGGGTCCTTGCAC